TTGGGTAGATGTGAGATCTTTCATTAGACCAACAGAGTAGTTGGAAAACTCAGGCTGAGATGACAGCTGATTCTGCAGACTAGCTGAAATTGCACTGGTTGGTGATCCAACAGCATGGATGTATATATGGCAGTTGAACAGCTGACAGCTTCCTTCTGTGGTGCACTGTAACAGCTTTGGCAGCTCACTCCAGGCAGAAGGCAGGGTAGCATTGCACCTTACAGACTAAATCAGAGAGGCATAAGCTTTTGTATGCAACTCTGTCTACTGCTTTGTATTTTTTTTTCTTTTCCCTTCTTACCAGACTCTTCTGCCAGGCCCCTCTTTTTATTACCAGATTGCTGCTGTATGTGAAGTGGCTCTTATCTCTACAAAAGGCTTTAAAAAGCCATAGGCAACACTAATTGAACTCTTGCTCCCAAGCTAAGGACTGTTTAGTAGAAAAGGGTGGTTTTTAAGCTCGCTGACATGAACAGCTTTTCTCTACGGTAGATAGTGTGCCAAATCCAACTCTTCCCCCTTCCAGACTTAGCTTAGCTAAAATTTTGCACAGAGCGAATAGAACCTCTCATTTCATTGCAAGCTACACAACACTTTTGGTAAGCCTCTGTGTGGGCATACTGTTATAGAGGACAGCTTGCAGGACTGGAGCTGAACTTGATCATGACAATCCTGCAGCTGAAGGCAGCAGATGTGGGGTAATGTCAGATTTAGATCCACAGTTTCTGCTGCAAGCCAAACTGCAATCTAACTGTATGTGAATGAATGATGCTACGACTACAAGAACACTGACAGCAGAGTCCTATGTAAGAACTGCAGCCAGGACCATTACTTGCACCACCATGGACATGTCTGTTTGCCTGTCTCTCTCTCTCACCTCTACTTCTGGAGAAGAAAATCTTTGCCATACTCTTCTCCTTGCATGAGAGGCCTTATCCATTCTATTTAAGTAATTTGGGGGTGGGGAAGTGTGGACGCATGCCCAAACTGACTATTTCTTACCAGAGAGGACGTTAAACCTTGATTGGCTTCAGCTATACAATTAAAGAACTGTACTAGAACATAATCCTGCGGGAGAAATATCTACATTGTTAGCAGTTGCCTACACTGCTAACAAAGGAAGGGAAAAAAGGTTACTTTAAAGTCCTAAGGCCCAGCAGAGATGGGCTGGGAGCTGTTGTTGGCATTTAGACACTATGGTAAATAGACCTGCTCTCATGTTTTGCTAAATTGCAGTAGCAGAAGTGGTAGGGACTGCTCTGTTCATATTACAACACCCAATGTTACTGGACCTGAACCAGCAGGGAAGTGTGTAGACAGGGCTAAGAATGTAGCAAGCTGTAGGGAAGCACTGTGCCCTCGGGCTCTCGAAGTTCACAGGATTATTTAGTACCACTGTTCGTGGGGTAAAAACATTTCTGGGAATGTAAGCCAGGGAGTCCATATGCAACCTCTCTCTCAATAAAGCTGCATTGGAAAACCCTGTTGCTGCATGAGTTAAATGTTGTCCTGTTTGGTACCATAAGTGGACTAGCCAGGAACAGAGCACAGCTTAACATGCTTTAAGTAGGAGCTGGGTCTTTCCCCATTATAGGATCAGCACATAGGAGGAGGAAAAAGGGATAAAATTAACTAATATAGACTCCTGCTATGATTGATTCTTTTGAGTGCATATAGCTCCTTAGCTGAAACAAATCCTAAATCACAATCCACTCTTAACAGTCTTGAACATGACTGATGATGAGGCACCTCCCCAACCATACCTTGCTTGTGGGGAATCCAAGTATCCAGTTCCTTCAGAAACCCTCAGACTAGTTCTGGTCCAGTAAAGGGACAGGTGTTTTAATCTTCAGCCTCTCAATCGTGTTGGAGTTCCTTGTAAGGCAGGGGAAAGGAGATGGTTCTCTTGCTCAAAATGTTTCTATATTTGAGATGGTGATAATGTCTACAGTTAGCACTTTGTGAAGGCAGTGCTACAGAAACAAAACCAGATTTAGGAACACTGACAGACCCAAACCTCACACTTTAGGTGGTAGAAATATTGCCCCTCATTTAAAACCTGGATGAAGTAAGCAGCTGTATTTGTATGTAGGCCCTTACATTACATTTGGAAAATTTTAACTTAATGTAATGCTTTCCACTATTTCCAAAATATTTTTAAAAAATAAGTGGAATTGGGAAGAGTGCTACTGTACCATGAGGTTGCTAAGGTAAGTGAAAGCTGGAAAAAGGTTCTAGTGCGTACTAATCTCTAATACTTCCGTCCTTTAACTTTGGAAAAGGTCTGTCCCCAAACTGCTGAGACTTTCCTCTGCTAGTAAAGCATTCTAATCTGGAGGTAACCATTGTGTGAGTTTGTCTTGAACCAGGAACAAGTGATAAACCCAGACCACTGGTATTCTTTCTAAGTCAGGAGTTTGTACTAGATCCTGGGGTGACGTGCATGCCATGGTGAGCTGTTTCTAACGCCTTGTAGCACAGTTTAGAGCTGTCTGGCACTTTAGCAGCAGATAGAGCAATATTAAGCAGTGCAAGAATGTAGAAGAGTCACCACCTGAATAAGCAAACCATTTTCCAAACTGATTAAGAATGATGAACTAGGCCAATAGAAATACAGACTGTCCTAATTTGACCAGTATCATAGGCTTATTTATGAAAAAGGAAGTTTCTAGACATAATGCTTGTAAAGCTAGTCCTCAAGCCCAGATGCTAATGTGCTTTTGTTGAGCTGGGGCTGCAGCCCATCTGAAACAATAGCACTAAGCAGTGAGAACTTCCCCCATTCATCTCTGTGCTGTTACCTCCATAATCTAATTGCTCTTGTACTGCTAACATTAACCTTTTCACTCCTGATCCTCAGACTGGAAACTTTCAGCTACTGCGCTCAGACAGGGTGGTCATTTAAAAGGAGGCTTCCTGGGCAAGAGCTATACATTTTGAGCAGTCAAAGAGTTAAATCTCTGCCATGTGGCTTCTTGATATTCAAGCAAATGCTCTTCTTTTAAAAGGTCACAGTCTTATCAGGCAAGAGGCATAGCAGTCCTGTAATTGGAGTGCAAGATACTGGAGGTTCTTTGGTTCAATAATAAATCACTTTTAATAAAGATTTCTGAAAGACTTGCCTTTTGTGTCTTGCAAGGAAATCCGGTAAAGCCACCCTGTGCTACACCCATCCCCAGTTCTGGAATGGCCTTGTGGAAAGAGCTGGGGATTTAAGCTAGTGCAGAAGTTTCACTAATGCATTTGTACTCAGATCAAAGCTGGCCAAAACACCAGGGAGAATGAGTGCAGGAAGATCCTAGCTGAAGTGTATGTAGCGTGCAGCCATGGGCTAAGGCCTTCTCTAGACTGTGTGTGAATTAGTACTCCCAAGAATATTTACGAAAACTGTTGCTGGTGTGTTCTCAACTGAGCCTTCCCCTTTATGCAGAATATGTCACTTCTGGCCCAGGGAGTCTCTCTGTGTATATGACATTTGTAAAAGAGTTTGGAACCAGTTCAGATATGAATGGTTGTGGTGTAAACAGTACTGTGCCCCATTTCCCAAAACTGAGTTAAAAACCTGAACCAATTGGGATTTAACTGTGTAAAAGTGTATCATGTTTTGGCTCTGCCTCTGCTAGAGCTTTTAATTGTTACAGCCAGCTTTCCTGACTCTACAGTATGTGTGGCATAGAAGAGCCTTTTGCTGCTTTGCACAATAGGAACCCCCTGAAGCTCTGCTTTCTCAGCAATAAAGAGCAAGTACAGAGAGAGCAGGAGACAAGGCAGGACAATAGACAAGTTGCATCATTCTAGCACCAATTAATGCCAGCTGTGGAGTACAAAAGTGTTTCACTGGCTTTGTGACTGTTGGGTAGCACTCAGTATGTCTGCTCCCCTAGCAACATCCTCCTGAAAACTAGAATAGGGCTCTAAAAACAAAACAAAAAATGTATTTGGATGAATATCCCATTACTTTGCTTCTACTGGGAAATCTCCATGGACTTTCTATTGGGATGTGCCACAGTTACAGTGACTGGTGGCAATTAGTCTATAGCCTACAAATCTTCCCTTATTTATATCCACAGTGAGAGGCTGTAAGTTATGCTGGTTAACTGAGACTTTAACAAAAGAAGGGAGAAAGCTCTCTTTTCATACACGGTCTTTCTTAATGCATGTTTGCCTATTACTCCCCGCAGCGTGAGTCAAGAATGCATATTGCTAATGATCATATCAATCCTAATGCTTCTCAAGTAAGTGAATCACTTCCCACTGCATGAAACATTTTTTAAATCCCCATGGCAGGTTTTTACAGATATTTCTTCAATAGCAAACTTCACATGGAGGGCTCTGACTTTCAAACGGGATGTGACCCCCTGGCATTTAGGAAACAGTTCAGCACTCTGCTCTCTTGCATACAAATGACCCATTTTCTAAAGAGCTGGACCAACTGGGCGCACATTCATTTCACATCCCACTGACCCAGCAGGTGGGAATGCAAGCACATCCACATATCACATGTTCCTTACAGAATGCTAACAGATATGGCTTGGCTAAGAACAGTAAACAGAAAAAGTTTAATTTTCTATATACAATAGAGTATGAGACAACCAGCAACCAACTGACAATACCTTTATGTTGTTAAAAACAAAACTATGCTGACCTTGGTAAGTTATTGTTCTCCCCAAATTTTTATTTCCGCATACCCACCTACCTCCTCTTCCATAAAACACATAAAGCAGATTAAAGACAATTTCTGAAGAGGAAAACATAAAATAACCAGTAATATCCTAAGGTCTGCCTTAGCATTTTTGCTTGGGATGGCCATTCCAGCTTCTATCTGGAGCGCTGGGAATGTGACACTGCTGCCAGCTGCAGCTTTTTCTGCTCCAAACTGAGCATAAAGGACAGGCCAAGGCTGAACCTATGACCCTAAAGTAATACACGGGTCTACACAGGTAACTCCACTGTGCAAATGGGATTGTGTTATAACACAATTGGGCTCTATCGTGTTTGTGGGAAATGTTGATCTTGCCTTTACTTTAGGGGTGACTGATTACACCAGTCCTGGCCTCCAGGAAGAAGAAAGGTTTGCTCCCACAAAAAGACTATGTTAACATGTAGCAAAAGAGAAAAATTCAGACAAACCAAAGAAAAGACAGCTGTTACTTAACATGTGGGACTTGTCAAAATTGGTCTGTGTAGAAAAGGCCCAGAAGCCAAGTTACTGCTGGAATCATTTACTTTTCCTGCCAGTAAAACCTTTACAGAACAGTAAGCCAGAGAGAGGAGCCAAGTTTGCTGTAATTAATGGACCTGTGGCATTCTGCACCCATACTGTACCTTCCCCCCCCTTCCCAGGGAATGGTACTACGTTATCAGTGCTCCTCTGGAGGTGGCAGCTCACAGCATCCCAACTACTTTCTTTTAAGCCAGAGACAAGAACAACATTCTAAGGCTGGGGATCAGTCCCACTCACAATTCAAGGGTGTATTCAGAAGTTTTGAGTTCAAGCTATTACAGAGAGGCCAGGCCCCAGACCCAAACTCGTAGCATGTTACTGTTCAGCCTACCTTCAGTAAAGACACTTTTTTTCTCTACCTGTGTTTGTCATCGGCTCTCTGCTTCCTGGGGTCTCTCTCCCTGCTCCGGTCCCTCTCCCTGTCTTTTCTGTCTCTCTCCTTCCTCTCTCTCTCTCTGCTCCTTTCCTCTTTGAAGTCCCGGTCTCTCTCCCGCTCGCTTTCTCCCCAACCCCAGGATCGCTCTCTTTCTGGCCCTCTCTTGTCCCTGCTCCTTTCGTGGTCTCGGTTTCTGGTTCTCCAGTCCCTCGTTCCATCGCGAGTCCAGTTCCTCTCTCTCTTCTCCGCTGGTCCCTCTCCGTAGAAATCACTTTTCATATTTGGCAAATTGATGGGCTTTCGGAAAGGTCTGTCCCGTCCTCCAAATCGCAACTGCCCAGATTCCTTTTTGCCCCCAAAGCCACCTCCGAGCCTCCGGGGAATCCATCCCTTTAGGGTCCTTTCCAGCTCAAAGTCCACAAATATCTCATGCTGGTCAATAACCAGCCTGTTGGCATCCCTATGGGCTTTCAGTAGAGCACGCTCTTCTTTGTACTCGATGAACGCGTAGCCCTTGGAAAAGCCGGTGACCAAGTCTCTCACCAGGCGGATCTTCCTGATGTCTCCGTATCGGGAAAAGACTTCCTTCAACTTCTCTTCCGTGGTCTGTAGGTTTAACCTCGCTACAAACAGGGTGAGGTGGGGATCACCTGCCACCCCTTTATTGGGTACGTACCGTGCCAACATGGCCCTCCAGATGGCTCGGTCATGTGGCTCTTCATCTGTTCCATCAATGCTCCCTGCTTTAAGGGGGTCATAATCCTTCGCTATGGGTGCCCAGTCGTTCATTTTCTAGAGAGAATACAAGCATCAGACATATCCGAGTCACTGGTAATGTTCTGCATACAGAAGTGCACTCTGCAAGGTACCACTAACAAGCCTGCTTGGAAATTCTCTTTCATGCAGAAATCCCAAAAGTTAATGGGCTGTCTACACTCCACTGCAGGCTGATCCCCATTTTACTGGCTGAACACGCAGGGCACAGATAGGTCAAATTCTCAGCATGCACCTGCCTGCTAACACAGCTAAAAAAGGGTGAGGCTACAACCCCCTACTCAGGACTTGCTACAGAACTCTTCATGCAGACTGAAAACCTCCATGCAACTACTGGTCGGCTCCTCGTACTCTAGAGGGACCTTTCTGACCCAGTAGGGCAGCTGTCCAATTAATATCAAGAACATTAATTAGAGACTTCCTCACAATCATGCTTCATTAGACTTTGCAGAGCTTATGAAGGTTTGTCTAAAATTAATGAAAATGGGCCCAGCTTGAAATGACTTCCCCACGGGGAAGGCGACTGGGCATGAAGGAGCTCCGGCAGGCTTTCCGCTCAGAGCAGGGCAAGCCAAGCTGGCAAAAGAACACACACGGCACCAGCCAGCTGCTCCCCACAGGCTGCTTTCAGTGGGGGGCACCTGCCACCTACCTCTGCTCCAAACCAGCTGGGTTTGGCCAGGCTTCCTGGCATAGCGGTGACCTCCCAGGGAGCTAAACCAGAAAGGGAGGGAGGGAGGGAGGGAGAGAGGGTCTTTCCTGCACTGCCCAAAGCAGAGAGCTCTGGGCTCCAAACAGCCAGGGAGGCCTCATACCCAACCCCCTCCCCATCACGGCCCTCACCCCTGACTGGGCAGGACCCTGGTGTTGCACAACATCCTCTGGAACCCCTATTCCCCCGCGCACAGTGTAACGCGTCACCCCCCGTTCCCCCGCGCACAGTGTAACGCGTCACCCCCATTCCCCCGTGCAGCGTAACGTGACCCCCATTCCCGCGCACAGTGTAACGTATGACTCCCCCC